CCATAGTCACAAAACTGGAGGGCTGTCCAAACCAAATTAAAATGTAATTGGGAAATGTTTAGCAAAGTAAATAAAAATATGATAAAATATAGATAATGCTAATTCATGGTTTTCTAAGTCAATATGTGGCCCACACACATCCATTTCTAGAATTCTCATTTCATTTGTACCATTTAAGAATACTTCTTTTTTATTTCTTCTAGTAATTCTAGTTGCTCTTTTGATTAAGCTTTTCTTTTTTTGCTTTTTTGCTTTTTTCCTTTTTTAAGTCTTTGCTTGTAGATATGGAGTTACTCTTTTCTTCTGGCTTTGTGTGTGTCTGGCTCCATAAGAGCTCTTTATTGTTGTTGTCTTTTATTATTTATTAATTCCTCCAGCTTTAGTTCCTGATTTGGAACTTTTTGTGAATCTCAGGTGCTGCATACTTCTGGAGGTAATGTTTGGAGTTTTGAATGGTCTTGATCTATTTTATCTGGACTCTCACTATTGTTTTCTCTGGGTACTGAGTACTGTGCTCTTCAAGAATCTCAGTGTTGGCTTAAGTCAGGGAGATGCAAACTTTCAGAAGCCTTAGGCAGACTGATCAGAGACATAGTCTTATTGCTGCCTGCCTGGTCTGAGCTTTGCAGGCTTCCCTACTCTGGTTTGGGTCTGGGCAATACAACTATAGGCTTGTCCCTCATTGGAGATCCAGTAGACAGTGCCTGTCAACTAGGAGAAAGGATCTACAGATTCAGAGTGACAGAACTATAGGCTCAGTCTAGTTGGTACTCCATGCCCTGGTTGCTCAGCAACAGACCCCAGCCCAGATCTATGGTCTATATCCTTGATGGACAATGGAGACATCCTTGAACTCCTGGGGGATAACCTCCTCTTGTCGTATAACCCAGAAAATTTCAGTCACCTTTTGTATGAGCAGTGGACCCCCTGCCTTGTAAATCTCAGCTGGAATAGAATCTATACCAGGTACTTTGCCACACAAGAAAAATCTAAATGGCATTCAAATCTTCTTCAGTTTGGAAATTTGGGTAGAGAGGGATTGACTTCAACCTGAGGTATACAGTCAATGGAAGTGTTCAACCCATCTCTCCAGGATCATGTCTTTATCGCTAATCAATGTGGCTCCATCAGCACTAAGTAGTTCAGAGGAACCATAGGTGGTTGGCCAAGATTTAGCCTTCAGGGCATCATAAAAGTGCTTTGAGGTGTTACTATCAGTATAAAACTGAATTTCATCTGCCTTCTTACTGAGCCAAGAATCCTGCCTCTCTCTAAACTTCATTTGCACTTTTGATAGAGTTAAATACCGCCTTTTTAGAGACAGATGAACTATCCTGCTGGTAAACCCTTTGAAGTTCTCGTTTTTTGTTTAGCAGCTTCTGAATTTCCCCATCATTTTCAGCAAACCAGTCTTGATGTTTGTGAGTGTTCTGGCCCAAATGAGAACCCGTGGTGCTGTACACCAAATAATTGAAAACTGCCGACTCCTTTACTACTCCAGTATTACCAACAGTGTGTTGGTTCAGCTCTCCCTCCAAGTTAGCAACAATCTGTTCTCACTCTGAGCAACTCTTTAATCTGTTGACATTACATCCTTTGGTAGCTGTCTTGCCTTGGGGCTTTTGTTGAATGTGAATATTTGGAGAAGATAAATCTATGATCCATCTAGCACACTGCACCACACATTGCCTTTGTCACTGTGTCACTCTCATTGCCTGTCAGTCTCTTCTTCTTACAATGGTATAGTCTATTAAATGCCAATGTTTGCCTTGAGGACACATCTGTGATGTTCTATTGCATTTAGGTAAATGGAAGATAGTGTTGGTGATAAAAAAGTCATGAGATGTACAAGTCTTCGGTAGTGAGTGACCGTTACTGTTGCTGTTTCTGACTCCATTCCTTCCAAGGACTCCTTGCCATGTCTGTGTTTACTCTTCCATTGAGGTCACCCAGAATTATAAGCTTGTCCTCTTTCAGCACATTCATATTGAGGGTCTCAGGTCTTCACAAAATTTTTCTTTTAACTCATCAAAGTTCATCATGGTGGGAGCACAAGCACTAATGATGGTGATACTGTCCTGCAAGTGGCAATTGCATTGTCATGATTCTATTGTTCACTTCTTTTGGGAGGCATACAAGCTTGTCGATTATTAGTTTTGATTGCAAAACCTATGCCAGCTTTACAGTGCTCCCCTTCACTGTGGCCATCCAGAAAAAAAAAAGTGTATCCAGCTCTGACTTTGGTAGGCTTTCCTTCACTTGCCAGCCTTGTTTCACTTAGGGTTGCTATTTGGATGTGATACCTGCTGCATTCTCTTGCAGCAAGAGTTGTTCAGGACTACTGGTTTTCATGTTGTCCGTAAGTGTGTGCACATTCCATGTTCTGATGGTGACTGAAACCATCTTTGCAAAAGTTTTTGTACTTTTTTTGTGTTTTGACCAAGGGTGGGGTCCCTGCCTGCCACGGTAAGCAGACCAGGGTTGGGTGAAGCATATAATTTTTAGGGTACCTTTTCTAGCCTCTACCTCACACCACACCAGGAGGTGGGCAGTAGGATCCTTTAAAAAGGCTCACACACCCAAAAGGCTGCTGAATCCCACTGTTGCTTCCAATAAGAAGACAACCCTATGGCCTGGGTCACCTGTGTGCATGGTTGTAATTACAGCTCCCATGTATCCACACCTGCTGCTTCATCATTTGCCTGTCGCCACAAGAATTTGAGATAAGTAAAAATGGCAAAATGGTATGGGTGAGGTCTTTTGATTTGTGTATAGATTGGATTTAAATGAGGCAGAGTTGTGTGAAGTCGTTGACCTCACTCTCTTTTCCAGAGTCATCACAGTCCAATGGCAAGAAAAAGTCAAGATGACTGATGATGGCTTGGGATGCAGTGGTTGACCTTGGTGTTTTCGATGTCTAACAAAGTTCTCAGCACTCCATAGACTACTTCATGACCATTTGGATGAAATTGTTCTCATCCACCCATTCTACTGGGGGATGTCTTCACATCTTGGGGTAGACACCCCCCCTACCTCAGTGAAGGGTTTGAGGCTACTCAGTTACCCTCAACCTGGTGTAGTCTGTTGAAACAATTTACTGGGGTGTGGCTGCTGTGCATGCTACAGCTTCTTGGAGCCACAGGTAAGAGTTGGAGAATCAGGTGGACATCAGCAGTGGAAAGCAGACCTGAAAAGGACTTAGCAGCCCTTATACCAGAGGTACTAGTCTTCCCTGAAAACACCCTATAACCCATATGGCATATAGTAGGTAATATATAAATGCTCTATATAAATGCTAGCTATCATCATCATTAGTAATCATAATAATAATATTATTTCCCATGCTAGATGGTTCTGTACCAGCTTTCCTACCTGAAACCTCCCTAGTGCCTATAGGCTTTCTTCCTGCCAATCTGGGCTTGAAAAAATGATCCACTGCAGCTCTTCCTTGGATTTCTTCAACATTACTTAGTCTGGTACTTTTCCTTGATTTTTGTTGGATGTTTGTGGAAAGAGGCTGTACTGCTTCCTCCTACTTGACCATCTTTGTCAGAATCTGCCTCTATTTTTTGATGGAAATTATAATGATGATGATGGGTTATCTTTTTATGATTTCAGAATCTGTTAATGCATGCTTAGTAGTCTTTTGTGTCTTGAGTTTTTGTCTCTTGTGGTAGAAGACGTGACTGTCCTACCCCTGATATCTATTTTGTACATTGATTGTCTTTTCCTGAGAATGGACTCTATTGATACTTTTTAGAAATGCCTTAGATATGATCTTTGGTTTTTTTTGGACATTCTCTGCCATTGTAGAACTCTGGAGTGAGAAATAATGATCCAGAGAGCATGAAAAAAGCCTGACTTTCCCTGTAGGGTCAGATTGCCCCTAGGAAGAATCTCAGGTCTGTGTAAATTCAGATTAGGGGCCTCCTTTCCGGGAGGAGACCCGCTGGGCTATAAATGACATCTCCCATTGATATAACTAACAGCAAGGTTAATTGTGATCATTATAATTTATATATGTGTTTACAATGGTGTCAAATCTCATGAGGCAGTTAGTGGCTCATTGGATAGAACACTGGGCCTGAAGTCAGGAAGACCTGAGTTAAAATCCAGCCTCATACATATGCTAGCTGTATGATCTTGGGCAAGTCACTTAACCTCTGTTTGCCTCAGTTTCCTCAACTGTAAAATGGGAATAATAACAGCACTTATCTTTCGGGTTGTTGTGAGGATTGAATGAGATACTTATAAAGTGCTTAGCACAGTGCCTGGCAGATAGTAGGTGATATATAAATACTTATTCCTTTCTCTTCCTTCCTCTTATTTCATGCTAGAAGAAGTCTTGGCCTGGGTTCTTGCTGAAATATGGCAGGTACATAGGTGCCTTTCAAACCTGGAGGTGAAGAGAGAAACAGTGTGCTCTCATTCTGATGAAAAGAGTGAGTACAGGTGAAAGAAGGGAAAGGTTCTAATTTTTCTGACGAGTGTAAGCAGCTCTGATAGGGGAGGAAGAACCCTGGAAAATATAATCATAGGTTCCCTTTTTTCTTTCTCTTGACTGGAATTTTTTCTGCTTAACTTGAAGCTTCTAATCAATCACAAGCCTCAGAATGAGGCCTGTGTTCACTCTGATACCCAGCAACCCATCTTGCTTTAATTAAAGTAAAAAGAAATTCTGAACTGGGTTTTTGGTAAACATCCTTTCTTTTGGTATATAACTGAATTGGACCATGGGAGAGAAAACTATTTATTATGGGCTGGGCTTGACTCCTATTCCCCTCCTTTTCCTACAAACCACGTGATTTCCCCAAAACTACATGCAAATGCATTTTGTTACACCCCCTTTGGCTAGGAAGAGAGGATTGCACAATGACAAAATTCCCCCCGACCTTTTAAAAAAAAATCTCTGTCCTCCACACAGACCTCAATAAAGGAACTCAGGCCAGGGATGAAGTGGGGAGTGCCTGTTTCAAAAGCAGAGGGAGCTCTAAGATTAAAACTGAATCCTGTTCTTCCTGCTCCATGGTCTCCTAGCCCCTCCTTGTATAGCTTAGGGATTTGAGAAATAGGCACGTTGAGGGGGAATGGTAGAAACAGGACACAGAAGGACAGAGAGGCTGGCTGAGAGAGGCAAAGGGAACACTAAGCTCCCTGGTTGTCCCCTGTACTTGTCTGCACGTGCCTCCTAAGATGACTACTTGCAGAAGTAAGGGAAACTGATCAACTCTTCCCCATCAGCTCCAGAAGGTAAAAACCTTAAAAACAAGTGATATGAACTCCAATATGGAGAATACCTTCAATAGAATGCTTTTGGTCTTTAGGCAAAGAAAAGGGATAGGAGCTTCCTCTTCCTTCTCAACCTGGGGCCATTTGTCTTGGGTCAACCCCAACCCTATTCCATCGCACAGTGACCCTTGTTGACAGGATGATATGCATTTTGAATAAACTAAGAGAATATTGTTACTTTAAGATAGAAGGGAAAGACTGAAAAATAAAACAAGAAATGAGAGAGAAACCTGTTCTCATTCCTTCTTCCATAATTTCTTTTGATTACTTTCCCATTTTTCCTTTCCTATCTACCTATCCAGCTCTGTTTCCATCCAATATATGGGGGCAAGGTTTTTGTTTTTTGTTTGTTTGTTTAATGCTACCATCCCACTTGTCTGCCTTTTACCAACAGATTAGCAGAGAGGGCTGGGGTAAATTTCAAGGTGTACTTTATTTCAATCCTGAAGGAATCAATAGTGATACATATCATTAGAATTTCATAATTAGATATAGTTAAGAGAGATGGTCTAATATGAAAAAGTGAATCAAGGAATCAAAAGTCCAGGGAGAATGTGCTCCAGATGCTTTGTGATATAGGGATTTTTTTTTTTAATTTGGGAAGGGGTACTGTGTGCTGTGAGGGCATAAAGGATGAGGAAAGTCATAAAACGTGAGTCAGAATAACAGAGAAGCTGAAGAATAGGGAGAAGAGCTGAATCAATTAACAGATGTTGCTTAGGAGAAAGTTACCTCAATCTTAGTGGTCAAGCTGGGAGAAGAGAGAAACAAAACGTGACAGAAGGACAAAGTCTAGAAAGTTAAAGGCTGGAAAAATGTGGGAGGTGGGTAAAATATGGGTAGTACTGCTTGGTAGAACCTGAATGTTGGTATCAATATGAAAGTGTCATTGAACTCCAAGTGACTCTCACTCCTAAGGCAGGTTTGCTCACTCAAATACAGTGAAACCTATCCCTTCTCTGAGCTCCAAAATCCAGAGGTGGAGAGAACCCGAGCTGAGAGATGTCCAGCTTCTCAGGACCTATCAAATCAACAGGCATATGGTAAGTGGTGAAGAAGCCCTAGAGATGTTTTTCCCACTACTTGTGTCCTTCCTGTCTCACATTCTGTTTGTCTGTCTTTCTCCCTCTCTCTCTATCCTTCCTCTTCTCCTCCCGGTCTTTGCTACCCTCTCTACCTCCTTTGTCTCTCTCTACCTCCTTTGTCTTTCTCTTCTCTTTTCCTACTCTTCACCTCCCCCTCATCTCTTTATTTTCTCCATGTCTTCTCCTTTCTTGGGAGAAGGAACATTCCCAGGATCCCTCATAGGTTCCCAAAGTGGGTGATACTGCCTCCTGGGGGTACTGGAATGATCTAGGGGGGTGGTAGTAGCCTCGGGTGCAATTGGGGAGCATTGAATATAAGGGAGTGGTAGAAGCATAAGGAAAGAAGAGAATATAAGAAAATTTTGAAAAACCATTTGAATGGGAAAAATGTTCATATGGAAAGCATATTTCATCTGTTTTGTAACAGAGTTAAAGTTGTAGTGATTACATTATTTTCCAAATAAACACACAAAATGCAAGTTATAACTGATCCACAGTCAAGTCTGCCAACGGGTCTTAACAAGCAAGTATTGGCAGGCAAGCAAGTCTCGAATTGTCAGGAAATCCAGCATACATCAGCAGGAATATACACTTGTAATGACTTGTTTACAAAATTATACAGTTACATGATGCAATTTTGCATCATCAAAATTTCAATGCAGAGAAAAAGCCACAAATTTATAATAAATTATCAAATTTAAGATGCGTCATTAAAAAAACATTTTTTGAAATGACACAAATTAAAAAAAAACAACATTAAAGAGTTAAAGAAAGTAGATTTCCAGGGGGGCACTGAGTGATTTTTTTTTTTTAAAGGGAGCAGGAGGCCAAATAAGTTTGGGAACCTCTGAAACAGTTCAGTTCAATAAGATGTGTTAAGTAACTATTTCTTGCCAAACACTGTACTAGATGCTGCTGATAGGAATGTCTTTTCCCTACTCTCAAGGAGTTTGTATTTTACAGATTCTATTAACTGTGCTATAGAAACTGCAGGAAAGAAAAATCTTGTATTTGGAGTAAAATGGCAGGTTTAAATCCCTGGTTTATCATTACTACTTATATGACTTTGGGCAAGTTAATTAACCTCACTGAGCCTCAGTTTCCTCATTTATAAAATGTGAAGGACCTATAAATTTCCTTTCCGGTTCTCAGTCTATGATCCTATGATCTGAAAAGGTTAGTCCTGTTCACCATCATCTGGCTCCCCAGCCTGTAACTCCCTTCTCTGTCCATCACTACTCTATGTGTTGTCTTTCCAATCAGAGTGTAGGCTCCTTTGGTGGGGGGAGCTTTTGTATTTGTATCCCTAGCACTTACCAGGGGGCATCGTGCTGGCCCTGGAGTCAGGAAGACTCCTTTTTGTGAGTTCAAATCCAGCCTCAGACATGTACTAGCTGTGTGACCCTGGTCAAGTCACTTAACCCTGTTTGCCTCAGTTTCTTCACCCGTAAATGAGCTGGAGAAGGAAATGGCAAACCACTCCAGTATCTTTGTCAAGAAAACCTCAAATGAGGTCACAAAGCATCAGATGTGACTGAACAACAAATACCATGCCGTGCTTAATAGATACATTTCATTTAGAGTCAGAGGAATTACCTATGTGACCTTTTATTTTTGGAAGAGGGTCTGGATCTGTGACTTAATTGATCTGGGGGGTTCCTGGTGAGGAAACTCCATTGATGCTGAGTGGTGTCTGTAATGAAATTTATAATCTTAGAGGGGCAGCTAGGTGGCACAATGGATAGAGTACTGGCCTTACAGCCACGAGGACCTAAGTTCAAATCCAGCTTCAGAGACTTACTAGCTGGGCAAGTCACTTAACCCTAGTTGCCTCCAAAAAAAAAAAAAAGGAAATTTATAATCTTAGAGAATTTCCTGGGGACATTGAGTGGTCAGGTGACTTATCCAAGGTCATACAGTCTGCACATATCAGAGGCAGGACTTGACCTCGCTTCATGCCAACTCCTAGGCTGTCTATTCATTGTGCCACACTAACTTCAGGTGACCTTATCCTTCAGACATATATAGTGCACCCTGATGGTTCTATATCCCTCCTAGTCACCACAGCCTTCCCTCTCTCAAATGACCTTATATCTACTTGTATCTGAGATCATAGGATCATAGGATCATAGGATCACACATAAATATATAGCTGTAAGAGAGTACAGTAGCCATCTAGCTCATCCCACTCATCCATCCATCCATCAATGATAGTCACCTGGGATGCAGGATTACCTGAAGCATGAGTGAAGAAATTTGTCACCACCAGCTTACCCCTCATAGTTAACCTAGATTTTGATGCATATATATTCTATTTTCTAAGAATATATATACATATATATTTTCCAGTAGAGTGTAAGATGTTGGAGGGCAAAGACTGTTTTGTTTTTGTACTTATATTTTCAGTGCCTTGTGCATGGTGACCATTTAAATGTTTGTTGAATTGACTATAGGGTCTGAATTTCACTCTTTTCATCCCCTTGAGAGAGCCTGATATTGCCACAAATCAATAGAAATGCTTAGAGATTTGACATCTAAGGGGTCTTGACTATGACCTATTTTTTTCTGATATTTTATCCTTTCTAACATGAAGCTGGCTATCCTTATCTTTTCCCTGTGTCCTGTGACATTACTTGTTTCCTAATTATTCTCAAGATAAAATTTACAGTGCCAACCCCTGGGCAGATAGGTCACCCCTCTGTGCCTTTTTCTAGGTGTGTTGTCTTGTTTGCAGTCCTGGCATGGGCTGAGGAGACCTCCATGTATGGGGAAATTTTGTCCCCTAACTACCCCCAAGCATATCCCAATAATGTACAGAAGATCTGGAACATCACAGTTCCTGACGGATATGGCGTCCGTCTCTACTTCACTCATCTGGACATAGAATTGTCAACCAACTGCGAGTATGATTCAGTGAAGGTATTGTATAGGTACAAAAGTACCGAGACTAAGGGCTTGGAGCAGGGAAGGAGAGGGAGGGATTGTAAAATGGAGGAACCTTATGGGAAAGGAAATCTGGTTCTTCGTCCTTCTTTCAAATCCTTATATCTCAGAACATTTTCTATTCTTTGGTTCCCTAATTCTGTACCTCTTTTGAATTCTCTCCATAGATCATATCAGGAGACCTTGTGGAAGGGGTACTCTGTGGGCAGAAGAGTAGCAAGAACCCCAGTTCTCCAATAGTGAAGGAGTACCATGTCCCACATAACAGCCTCCAAGTGATCTTTGAGTCAGACTTCTCAAATGAAGAGCGTTTCACAGGATTTGCTGCTTACTATGTTGCCGTGGGTATGGCCAAATATCTCCCTATCAGTGTCTTGTTATAATATTCCAACTTTAGTGTCTGAATTATGAACAGGCTAATAACAAATTCATGAATCAGGATTCTATTCATAATTTTTATAAAGGAAAATCATTAGTTAGTTCTACCTCTATTACTCCTACTGGTATGTGAAAGTCTTGACTTAGCTTGACACAGCTTTGTGTTGTGAGACACTAGTTTTACATTCAAACACACTTGGGGAATTCTAATATATTTTCGTATAAGGAACTCGCCATTGAGACATTTAAAAAATTTCATTAAATCAAATAAATTATTATTTTATCAAGCTAATAAATCTGCTAATTGTACTTTCCTACTACAGACTTTAACAGGGTGTCTGATCTTTAAGGTGTCATATTTAGTGTTACGTACTTCTTCCTGACAGATATTTGAGACATAAAGGCCTCAGACATGGTAAACCTATTCATCCCTGTGCTATATTATTAGTTCCTGGCCCTAGGAAACATAGTAGTATGAATTAAGACAAGGGCAGTAGTATGCAGACTGAGGAGCCCAGGACAGCATCAAAGAGCATGTAAAGTACTTCTGCAAAGGCTTAAAAGATATCTCTTCTTGTTATGCAGGGTTACGCCCTACCCCTAATCTTGCAGGTTTTAGTTAAACCTCATTCTTTTATATAGGTCTCCATTCTCAACTTCCATTCTCTCCCTGTTACTTTCAGATATAAATGAATGCACAGACTTTGAAGATGTCCCTTGTAGTCATTTCTGCAACAACTTCATTGGTGGTTACTTCTGCTCCTGCCCTCCGGAGTACTTCCTCCATGATGACATGAAGAATTGTGGAGGTGAGCTATTCATCCATCCATCCATCAATGATAGTCACCTGGGATGCAGGATTACCTGAAGCATGAGTGAAGAAATTTGTCACCACCAGCTTACCCCTCATAGTTAACCTAGATTTTGATGCATATGTATTCTATTTTCTAAGAATATATATACATATATATTCTAGAATATATGTTAGAATATATCTTCTAATTTCTAAGCACTTGTAGGGAAGAAACACCCTAAGGTAAACAAGGCCAAAGGAGAAGGTTAGAATATTAGCTAAGGGAGAACCTTCAAACATGGTCAGGTTCAGGTCCTCAAAAGATTCTACCCTTATCATAGGCAGATTAGTAGGGACCTCATTATGGTTTGGCATCTTTAATGAGGATTGTGACTCTAATTGATGTTGTGCCATCAGGAAATTAATGGATATAGATCCTAATTAGGACCATGGATTTGTTTTGAATGAAAGGTAATCAATTTATAAGAGTAAGATTAAGAGAAGATGACAAGATTTCCTTTCATTCCACTGATTTTCTCCTTTCTCCCTTCTCTGTTTTGAAGTGAATTGCAGTGGGAATATGTTTACTGATCTAGCTGGGGAGATTACCAGCCCTAACTATCCCAGTTTATACCCTGAGAACTCCCGCTGTGACTATCGGGTGTTTTTGGAGAAAGGCTTCCAAGTGGTGGTGACTATTAAGAGAGAAGATTTTGATGTGGAAGCAGGTGATTCAGAAGGAGACTGTCCGGACAGCCTGCTTGTGCGTGGTAGATGATTACTTTTGTTTTCCTTCCATGCAGGATTTCTCCCTTGAAAACAAATCTTTCCTTCTTTCAGTTTCTTTCTTGCATATTTTTCTTTCATTCTTTTCCTCTTTTATGTTGTAGCAAGTGTACTCCCAGCTTGAAAAACCAGCCAGGCCAGCTACATATCCTCCTCAGGACTTTGGAGGGTCTCCTAAAGGGATTTGGGGAATCTCTTCTCTACTGTCATTGACTCAATCCCCCACCAGTTATGTCCTTCCCTAATTCTTAAGTGCCTGTGACTGTAGTCCCAATTCCATTTAACCACTTAACACTAATCAGCTTTTTGAAGGGGATATTCATTTAAAAGACAAAAGTACAAATAAGTATGTCAAAGTAAGTATACTCTGTCCCATACCACCTTGGTCTCTGGGGAGAGTGGACTCACACACATATTTTCTACATGATATTTGTCATTCCCACTGAGTTCCTATCTGGACAAGGCACTGCTGCTAGATTAGTTTTCATCTCAGCTACTGCTAAGTTAGGTCCTAAAGGTCACTCTTGAAGGTCACATCTTGCTCCATGGGGCATTGATACTGAACTTGCTGCAAAACCTGGATGCCAGGATGCCCAATGTTCCCTTTCATGACCTCTCACAAAACTAGAATCTCCAGTTCCCTCATCTAAAACAGAAAAGTAAGTTAAAGCAAAAGTTTGAGGCCAAATCTAGGCCTGGGGTGAGAGGGAGGCCCAAAGCCTCTCTCCTCACAGCAGTTTCTCTCACTGGGCAGTCAGCAAAGGACTCAAAGCAAGGGAGAACATCTGAAGAGAAAGTAGCCTAAGAGAAAAATGAGCCTGAATCTCTGTTCCCTAGTACCTTTTGGAGGATCTCCAGATTCCAGCTATCTAATTAATCAAATCTTTATTAGGTGCTTACTATGTGCCAGGCACTGTGCTAAGCACTGGGGATACAAAAAGAGGTAAAAAAACAATCAAAAAGTCTTCTTCTGCACACATGGTTAGGAGAATAGAACTAGTTACGCAATGCCTACACATGCTTAAGTCTTTACAAGGGACTTCCATTATAAATCATCACAAGTCTCCCAGGAGCAGGCTCCCTAGCCTCTTCTACTGACATGTAGCAAGTAGCAGACTCTATTGCACAATGTTTACTTTTTTTTTTATATGCCTTACTCTCTACCTCTTTTCCTTCTTTCCTTTCTGTCTCTCCTGACTCATTCTCATTTATTTTTTCCTCCCAGTTCACTGCAGGAGGTCAGCAGTTTGGGCCCTACTGTGGTAATGGATTTCCTGGGCAGCAAATAATTGAAGCCAAGGACAATGTTCTTGATATCGTATTCCAGACTGATGAAACAGGGCAAAAAAAGGGCTGGAAACTTCGTTACTATGGAGACCGTGAGTAACCACGGAAGCTGTTCCTATGGGTGCTTGTATCCAAGTAACATTCCTATGCCAGATACTTGAGGAATAGATACATAGACATATAGACACATTAATAGAGAGAGATGTAGAGACACATCATTACATCGGATGCCAAAAGGATAGAAAGCCTGAAGTGGGTTAAGGAGTACCTTCCAAAAAGTGTAGTATTTCTCTCAAATCCTTAAAAATTGTTTAATTCCTATGGGAGTCCCAAACTCCCGAAGTGATCCTGGAAATGCCTCAGTATCCAGGAGTCCTCCTACTCAGGTATACCTACCTGTCAGCTCATACCTTTCGTTTGTATTCTGGATAAGAGATCATGGGAAACTAAACCAACCTATGAGGAGCCTTTGGAGAGTGATGCTAGATTCTCTTAGACATTTACCCCTTTGACACATTAGGTACCAGAAAAGAGGTGGTGGGTACGTGAGAAAAAGTGGATGATGGGGGAATATAATAGTACAATGTTATAGAAGAAAGTAGAAACTGAAATTATGTTTAATGGTTGGATGAATTAAGGCAGGAAGTCAGGCACCTAAATGTTTATGGAATAGAATTGCTTTATTAGCTAAGATGTTAGAAAGATGGATTGAATGGATTGGATTCACAGATTGATGTCTGGCTAGTAGATAGATGATAAGGTGATACTGAGAGGCAATATGGTACCTGGTCCTGCCTGTGCTGCTTAATAAACTGTCCTTTGTCAAATCACTTAACCTCTATGGGCCTCAGTTTTACCATCTGTAACATGGGAAATACAATAGAACACTATGTTTGGAGGTAATGAGTTGTTATAGAAGTATGTTTTTATTAAATAAAGCAAATAGATCAGAGAAATATGTTATTTTAAAGACAGGTGATTCTCAAACTTTTTGTTCATTAATGTTTTCTTTTCTGTTGCCACCGTTTTCCTTCTAAAGCAATGCCATGTCCTAAAGAATTCACAGCCAACTCTGTTCAGGATCCTGTAAAAGCCAAATATGTGTATAAGGATACTGTGAAGATAACTTGTCTGGAAGGGTTTGAAGTGGTGGAGGTAAGCTGCCTTCAGGGGCCTGTCCCATGTACCCTTCCCTCCATTCAAGGCAATCACTACCAAGTTGTTTCCAAGGTTTTAGCCTCCATGGCTGTTTCTAAAGAAGGCATAGACATTTCTTTTACCACTGGTGTAGCCCAAACATGTTTCCTCTGAGTATTTAATCTGCCCTTGAGAGAGACTGAGCTCCCCCCACTTCTGCTGCTCCTTTGTTTGTCATTCTATTCACTGAGTTGGAATGGAAATCAACTGTGAAGCTACATCTGGGCTGCTTTGGGTCTCTCCTTGTTAAAATTGGTGACGGTTCTTCACTGAGCACCAGGATGGGACTCCCTCTGGTACTCTGACTTCCCCACATCCCTCCTAATTAATGATGGTTCTTGTTACTCTTTAGGGAAGAGTCAGCTCAACCTTCTTCTATTCTACTTGTCAAAGTAATGGGCAGTGGAGTAATTCCAACCTAAAATGCAAACGTAGGTAACTGAGTGGGTTATCCTCCAAAATGGGATTGAGGGCATAAAACTACTTTCCCTCAGATTAGAAGAGGAGATGGATTGAGTTTTAGACATCTAGACCCAGAGACTTTATTGGGCCCTAGGACAGAACTGACCCTAAGCCAGGTGAAACACAGAAGGACAATGGGATTGTCCTGAGTGTCTGTTTGTTTCTACCATCCCAGCACATCAGCACATCACCAGAGAGAGAGAGAAATCTAATGGGGTAATAGTTATTTGGGCTGCAAAGTTTTATTCTTCAGTGGGGGTAGAATAAGGAAAACCAGATAAGGAAACCCACAGGATAGGAGAATAGGATAGGAGAATCATCTCAGATATTTGAAGACCTCAAAAGGCAATGGAGTCTATGGGATTGAGGGTTAGAGTTGATGTCATCACTGTTACTGGGACAGGGTGGCTACCCTGATGACCCCGTCCTGATTTTCCCTTCTAGCGGTGGACTGCGGCTCTCCCGAACCCATTAAAAATGGGAAAGCAGACGATACAGAAAATACCTTGTTTGGGACTGTGATTCAGTATACCTGCAATGAGCCATATTATTATATGAAGACCGAAGGGACTGGTAGGTTTTTCCTTTGGGGGAGAAGTAGTAAAAATGAAGACATTAAGAAGTGGGTTTTTCTTGGGATTAAAAGGGCAAAGAGGAGGCACAGTGATATAGTGGATGAGGCACTAGGTTGGGGATCAAGAAGACATGGGAACAAGTCAAACCTCAGATAATTGCTAGCTATATGACCCAGGGCAAGTTACTTAACCTCTCTCTGCCACAGTTTCTTTATCTGTAAATGAGAGGGTTGGATTTGGTGAGTTCAGAGGTTCCTTTCAACCACAAATCTGTGATCTTCCAATCCTATAAATTCTTGACAATGTTGCTGTTTTCTTCACTGTCTTAGAATATAATTCTTATATATGAACTGTCAGTTGGTCAAGTCCAAATAGACATTTATTAAATGACTACTACATACTAAGCTCTGTGCTTGGGGATATAAAAAGATGCAAAGATGTTGCCTGCCCTCAAGGAGTTTACAATCTAATGGGGGAGACAATCTGCTAACAACTTTGTGCAAGCAATAGAAATTGAAGATAATCCATGGAAGGGAGGCATTAGCATTATGGAGTATCAGGAAATGCTTCACATAGAAGATGAGATTTTAGTTAGGACTTGAAGGAAGCCAGGTAAGCCTTTTTAGGGAGTTTAGATGGGGCAGCTAGGTGGTGCAGTGAACAGAGCACGGAGTCAGGAGGACCTGAGTTCAAATCCAACCTCAGACACTTAACTAGCTATGTAACCCTGGGCAAGTCACTTAACTCCCATTGCCTCCAAAAAAAAAAAAGTTTAGGCACAAAAGGCAAAAGAACTGGAGTCCTTCAGATAAGTTCAAAGACTCATAGAAGTATAGAATCTTAGAATTCTAAAGGAGCTTTGAGTTTTGTCATCCAGCTTCCTACTTGGAACAGGAATCTGTTTTTTATAATATATAGTTAGTCCTACTCTGGATGAATTGTTTGATCTGAAACCCAGGGATTTATAGACAAATGCCTACAACTGCAAACCACCCTTACTCTGACTGAAGAGCCTTTTTTGCAGGACAGTCTGGTCTTTGTAGTGCTTTATGGAAGGTAACATGAGCCACAAAAGACATCTGACTCCCTTTTCCCCTCTCACATCAAGTATGTTCACAGCCTTCATCATAATGCAATGCCTCCCCTTCTTCTTTCCCTCCCCTATGATCTTGTATCCTGCTGTGAGAATACAGACTGGTATGTCAGGGAAAAATCTCCAACCACTTTCCTGTCCTGAGACCAGAATCTGCAGAAGGTTGAATGTCTAGACTCTAGACCCTCCTCTTGTGGGTCCAGGTGTTTATGCTCTGGTCCTTGTCTTTATAATGCCCGCCCCTAGGGAGCCTGGAGCTCTAATGAGGAGATTCAATACTGAAACGGCTATGCCTTCCTTGTTGATTTTAGGGGAATATCGTTGTGCTGCCAATGGGACCTGGATGAACAAGGTGCTGGGCATGGAGCTGCCTCAATGTGTAGCAGGTAAAAGAGTACTGGGTATAAGATATAGTATTAATAATCAATTAAGAAAATAATATTACATTAATAATCAATAATATTAATCAAATATATAACATGAAAGAGTGCTGGGTATAAGATATAACACTGGTGGATATGGTCAATTATGATATTAATATTAAATTAATAATATTGATTATTAATGAATATAATATAATATAAAAGAGTGCTGGGTAAAATATATGCAATAACTGTGGTAAAAAATAAGATGGTGGGTGGAGGGAGGGTGGAAGCACAGCTTACTAGAAGAAGCTGCAAAGTGTCTCATGGCTCCAGGGATTCTGTCATGTCCTGTCTATGACTTCTAGTGTTTGGAGAAATGAGCCTGTTGGTGCTACAGTAAATTATCTCCTGGGAGAGAAAGCCTAGAAACTTTGGGACCCCTAGAGTGGTCCCATGTGACATGATGTCTATGTTAGGGTGTGAGAATTCTGGGCTTCTGAGACCTGAGACAGAATAAATGGGCCTATGGAAGTCACAATGGTGCATGCAGTAGAAAGTGTGCTGAATTTGACATCAGAGAATGGAAGGAAATGGTAGAGAATTAGCATTTGTAAAGCACCTACTATGGGCCAGGCATTGTGCTAAGAGGTTTTTACAAATACTATCTCATCTGATCCTCCTAAGAACCATTCAAGGTAGGTGCTATTATGATCTCCATTTTACAGTTGAGGAATCTGAGGCAGATACAGGTTAAGTGGACTTGGGTTCCAGTCCTACCCCTGATGTTTATGCTATCTTGTGTGATATTGAGCAAGTTCCACTCACTTCTCTGGCCTCAGTTTCCTCACCTATACAAAGAAGGGGTTGGACTAGATGGTCTCCATGGTCCTTCCCAGATCTAAATCTATGATGTCACCTAGTAAGGGTGAGTGTTGAAATCAAAACCAATCAATAGGAAATGGAGCGACAAGTGGGTATGGGTGGAGAAGAGATAAGCCAGTTCTATGCTTTTCATCACAACTTCTAGGTTGAGCCATTGTTTTGGCAGAGAAACCAACCTATAGTCAAGGATGATCAGGAGCCAGCTTCTTTCTCTTTACCCATTTGTTATTGGGGGTAATTTATAGTACTTTCAGTTGATGTGAAATCCAGTCTGCCTGAGGAAATGGATAAAATGTAGGGTCTAAAGAGTCTTCATTATAGGCTGGTAATAGGATGAGAGTGACTGAGCATCAGTTTGAAGCCAATATCTTTTTAATAGTACTTTGCTAACATATCTTTCTTTGTTCCCTAGTCTGTGGAGTTCCCAGTCAGCCATTTGCAGGAACCCAGAGGATTTTTGGGGGTATTAAGGCAAATATTGGCAGTTTCCCCTGGCAAGTTTTCTTTCAGACTCCAAGAGCTGGCGGAGCCCTCATTGATGACCATTGGGTGTTAACTGCTGCCCATGTGGTAGAGGGCAACTCCAACCCTATTATGTACATGGGAACCACCAGGGTCCATAATGCAGATCTGGAGAAGGCCCAGATGCTCATTGCTGATGGTGTCTTTCTCCATCCGGACTGGAAGCCCGTTGGTGATCTAGAGACAAGGAAGAATTTTGACAATGACATTGCACTGGTGCGTCTAAAAGACCCAGTGAAACTGGGGCCTAATGTTTCTCCTATATGTCTGCCAGACAGTTCATCGGATTATGACCTGGAGTTTGGGACCCTGGGATTGATCTCAGGCTGGGGCCGAATAGAAAGACGTAGAATTGTTGTTGAACTTAGAGGGACAAAGTTACCTGTGGTCCCCATGAAAAAGTGTGAGTCAGTAGAAAGTGACTCCAGAATAGATACCAGAACCTTCAGTTTTACCGATAACATGATTTGTGCTGGAGGAGAGAAGGGGAGTGATAGTTGTGAAGGAGACAGTGGTGGGGCCTTTGCTGTACAAGTCCCTAATGAAAAGAAAACCAAATTCTATGTGGCTGGCCTGGTGTCCTGGGGACCCAAATGTGGTACTTATGGGATCTATACTAAAGTAAAGAATTACATTTCCTGGATTGAGAAGACCATGCAGGAACATAGGATCTCTGATCAGGATTAATCCATTCTTATATCACCCACCTGTCTTGGATGATCATAACCAGACTGCTGTCACTACGGGGAGTGTGAGCTGGAGAGACTGAAATGCTTATGGTGGGGGTGCATCATGTTTTTGGCTCTGAAATATCCATCAGAATGTATTCCTCTGTTGTAAGGGCACCTGATTGGTGATGTTCAACTATATATTCCATTATGACTACTCTTATCTTTGGAGACTTCTTTCTATTGATTTGTTTCATTCCTTTGATTGTTGCCTAATCCTGCCACCATGCAGAACATCCCAGAAAGAACTTTCTTACTTCTAATCCTGAGCCTTGCCAGTTATTATAGCTCTGATGTTAACAGTGACTGATGGAGATGCTGTTTACCCCCCCTGCACACCTCGTTCCTCCACTGAAAGTTATATTTAATGAATCATTCTTAACATCTAATAATTAGCCACAATAAAGTGTGATTCCACCCCAACTCAGGTGTTCCCTCATTCTTTCACAAGGACTCAGAATTAGCATCATAGAACCACAGTGGATGTGAAGGAGAGGGGGAGTGATTGACAGGAGGTCAGGCACACCCTTATTTACTTTTATAGGAATTAAATCAGCCACTTAATATTATTCTTGAGATCACACTTTACAGAGCATTGTACTAAGTGATGTTGTAGAGAAGGGCAAGGTAAAAGAATATCCCTCTTTCCAAAATTTGATTGAGAAATTAAAAGGTGATCCCAAATCAGGGTTTAGTGCTTCTGTGTTAAAATGTGAACCTTAGCTTTAAAGAAATATTTTGAATGTTTTATTGGAAGCCCATGGGGACATATATTCATTGACAGATGGGGTGAGATGGTGATCACCTTTAAGGGACATTATGTATATGATGAATGCTGGAAGTGGAGGTAGGAAAAAGGATGTGAGTCCACATTGCATAGTGTGTGCATATGGAGGTCAGAGTACAGCTGGTCTGATGATGCCATGATGGAGCTATAAAGAAGTGGCAGGGTTTTGTTTCTTTTTCTTTAAAAAAAAAGGTATTTCAGAAAGAAAAAAGTATCTGGAATAGATAGTCTACATACATATCCTGATGGAGAGTGAGGGAGCTGTGAAAAGTCTTTTTTCTGATTCACATTTTTATTATGAAATTAAATAGCTTTACTTTTTTGAGCAGTTTCCTTTTTTTTTGTGGGGGGGAGGGTGTCAGTTTTGTAATTTAATGCTTAAATGCAACTGTGATCTCCATGATGTGGATCCTCTCTCTAGGGATGCAGATGGCAACCCATCCTTGCCTACTCATATTATATGACTTTCGTCCCTATTCTCCCATAAATCCTCCGCAAAAGACCCACTTAATGAGCTGGAAACCCTGCCCTACTTCTCTGGACACTTCTGGCAGCTTATGGGCTTGTGCCCACCACTTGACTGTACCATCTGCTTTTCTGATCACTTGCCATTTTTCTTATATTTTTCTTGATTGGCACTGTATTGCCACCTGCTTATGCCCACAATGCACCCTTCTATTGCCCTTTGGGTGATCCTCAACATTAATTCTTCAGACACTAGGGCATTCCATGACCTTTTAGCCATTAAGCAATGCTAACATTGATATTAATCACCAAAGGGTTAATAAACAAAATTATCTCCATCGTTATAATCTTTCAAGGAATCTTTGACATGTGCATGGGATATCCTTTGGAGAGGAGGCTTTAAGATGACATCTTGCTCTACCAAATCAAATACCTTATTGTTGTCGACATTCTTTCCACCTTTTGGTAAGCTGTGCCATTATAAATATGTATTCTCCTGTAGAACCCTGTTCTGAAAAGCCTGCACGTTCCCTTCTCATACCTTGATCAAGCATACCTTTGATGTGTGTTTAGATTATCCTTATATAATCTTTTCAGAAATGAGAGTTGTGAGTATTCTTTTGGTCAATTTTGGGGGGAATAATAATAAAATCTAAGCTTTTCTTTCAAAAGGTTATATCAATTCTTTTTTTTTAGACATTTCCCAATATTTCTTATCCCTTATCCCTCTTATCTCTTACCCTGTATTCTTTGTGACCTCCCTTGTCCCAAAGAAAGTTAAGCAAAACCAACTGATATAGAAACAATATCTGACAGTATATGCCACATCAGGTACCTGTAATTCCCCACCACTTTTTAATGATAATAGCTAGAATTTATGTATTGTTTTAATATTTGCCTCACATATATTATCTCATTTGATCCTCATAACAAGACTGTGAGATTAAGTGCTATTATTATCCCCATTTTGCAGGTGAGGAAACTCAGGCTGACCAAGCTCATATGACTTTCCCAGGGTCACACAGCTAGTAAATGTCTAAGGCTGAATTTGAACTCAGGTCTTACTGATTCCAGGTCCAGCGTTCTACCTCCCATGTCACTAGCTGTGACTTTATCAAGAGGAGGGAAGTATGTTTTATTATTCATCCACAGAAACCAGTATTAGTTATTGCCTTTGCAAGGCAAGGCAAGAAGCATTTGTTAAGCACTTAATATAAGCTACAAATTGTACTAAGCACCAGGGATACAAATGTAACAGTTTGTCTGGGCACGACCACATCAATCAATCAATCAATCTATCAATAAACATTTTTATGTACCTACTGTATATCAGGCACTGTGCTAAACACTGGGGATACAAAAAGAGGCAAAACACAATCCCTACCTTAAAGAAGCTCACAATCTACTGGGGGAGATGGTATGCAAAAATATATACACAAAGCAAGTTATATCCAGGATAAATAGGAAATAACGAGAGATGACACTGGAATAAAAAGGGGCTGGAGAAGGCTTCCTGTAGAAGGTGAGATTTTAGGGGGCAGTTAGGTGGCATAGTGGACAGATCACCGGCCCTGAAGTCAGGACAACCTGAGTTCAACTCTGGCCTCAGACCAAACAATTTGACACTTACTAGCTGTGTGGCCCTGGGCAAGTCACTTAACCCCAGTTGCCAAAAAATAAATAAATAAAGAAGGTGAGATTTTAGTTGGAGATTAAAGGAAGTTAGGGAAGTCAGAGAAGGGGAGGGAGTATGATCCAGGCATGGGAGATAGCCAGAGAAAATGCCAGGAATCTGGAGTGCCTTTTTCTTGGAACAGCTAGGAGACCAGTGTCACTAGATTGAAAAGTAGGTGTTGGGTGGGAGAAGACTGGAAAGGCAGGAGGAGGCCAGGTTATGAAGGGTTTTGAATCAGAACAGAGCATTTTGTATTTGCTCCTGGAGGCAATAGGAAGTCACTGGAGCTTGTTGAGTATGAGTGGGGATTGAGATGATCTGATCTACATTTTAAGGAAATCATTTTAGTGGCTGAATGGAGAATGGATTGGAGTGGGGAGAGGCTTGAGGCAGGCAGACCCATCAATGGGCTAGTGCAGTAATACAGAGGTGAGGTGATAAGGGTCTGAATTAGAGTGGTGACTGGGAAGGAGTCATATTTGAGAGATGTTCAGAGTTGAATATGATGGGCATTGGCAATAGCTTAGATATGGGGAGGAGTGTGTGTGAGAGATAGTGAGGAATCCAGGATGATTCCTAGGTTTAAGCCTAGGTTCCCAAAATACTGTGCTCCAGGGGGTGTTGGAATGATCCAGGTAGTAGCCTCAGATGCAATTGGAGAACATTGAATAAAAATAAGGAGGCAATGGAAGCATAAGGAAAGAAGACAAGAAAAATTTGAAAAATCATTCATACATGTTTCATTTATTGTATAATGGAGTTAAAGTCATGGTCATTTCATTATTTTCTAAATAAACACACAAAATGCAAGTTATAACCAATCAGTGGTCAAGTCTGCTGACAGGTCTTAACAAGCGAGTATTGGCAGGTGAGTGGGTTGCACTTTGTCAGGAAGCCCAGCATGCATTGGCAAGAATATGTGTGTACAATGACTTATTTACAATATGATACTATATGGTTATATGATGCAGTATTGCATCATCAAAATTTCAGTGTAGGAAAAAACCCACAAATTTACAATAAATTATTAAATTTAAAATGTATCATTTAAAAATATATTTCATATATTTTTGAAATAATGCAAATTAAAAAAAACATTAAAGGGTTAAAGAAAGTAGATTTCCAGGAGGGTGCTGAGTAATTATTTTTTTAAAAGGGGGCAGTAGGCCAAATAAATTTGGGAATCTCTGGTTTAGAGCCTGAGGGACTAGAAAGAGGATATTGCCCTCTGTAGAAATAGGGAAGGTAGGAGTGGAAGAGGGTTTAAGGAAAAAGATAGTAAGTTCTAACATAGAGGTATTCTGAGTGTCCTACCACATGGCTGGGGGTAACATTTTTTGATTGGTTATGTAGCTAGAAAGGCTTTTTTTTTTTTTTTTGGTTAGGCAATGGGATTAAGTGACTTGCCCAGGGTCACACAGCTAGTAAGTGTTATGTGTCTGAGGCCGGTTTTGAACTCAGGTCCTCCTGAATCCAGGGCCAGTGCTCTAGCCACTGTGCCACCTAGCTGCCCTGAAAGGCTTTGTTTTTAAAACTGGCCAGACTGAGAGTCATTCTCTTTCAGACTTTCTTTCCTTTCTATGCTCTCCTTCCTGCTACTGTACAGATGATGAAGATCACAGTTCACCCAGGGTGTGGGTACCAGTGACAGGGGAAGGACTTCCTTCCCCTGCTCTCCCTTTTACCCCTTCTCTCCAGTTTCTCTTGGCCTGGGGTTTCTGTTCTCTGTCATTCTTTTCAATTTCAGGTGCTGGCAGTGATCCCCTTATACATTCAAGAGTTTGAGCCGTGGTGACCTTGGAACCAGAATTCTAGGCAAGATGTTGTAGTCAGCCAGCCTGGTAGCCAGCTAGAAGCCTGGAGAAGCTGGGGTGCCCTAGACTGGAGCCTGAAGGGGATCTTGGTATTGGAACTGGGACTTTGTGCTCTATAGGAACTGAGCTAAGCTTTGAACCTCATCTCTTTCTCCTCCCCAGAGATAGGGGTGGTACAAGGAAGGAGGAAGATTTTTTTTTTAATTAGGCAATTGGGGTTAAGTGACTTGCCCAGGGTCACACAGTTAGTAAATGTCAAGTGTTTGGTCTGAGGCTGGATTTGAACTCAGGTCCTCCTGACTTCAGGGCCGGTGCTCTATTCACTGCCCACTGCGCCACATAGCTGCCCCAAGGGGAAGATTAAGCCTCCCATGTTGGGAGTAAGTTTATATATTTATGATTATATCTTTGAAATAAAATATTATCTTGTAAAAGCTAATCCAACAGTTAGTGATTAAATTGAACTGGGGTGTAGGAGACCCACCCTTATATTTTGGGGAGGAACACCATTGGTGGGGGGCTGGAACCATTTACAGAGAGTCTGGTATGACATTTAAAAAGGTTCTAGAGACATCGGTTCTGGGTAATTTAATCATTTTATTAATAAGATCAAGAGGTTATTAATAAAACGATGCTCACTTGACCATCTCTTTTAGACCAAAGACATTCTGGTAGTCATGGC